GGCCCAAATCACTGAGCCAATGACAGCACGAGCCACCTGTGCAACAGAAGCCCATCCTCTTTTGCCTGTTCGTTCAGCCGGTACAAAACCCAGCAAGACCCACCTTTCATTCCACTCTATGTAGCTTGCCCCAAACTGCTGCCAATGCCGTGCACTGTAAAGGGGAAGGAAGCGAACGGAGGGAGAGAAAAAATAAACAAACGGAGGGGGAGCGAGGGATGGTAGGGAAAAATAACAACAGTGAAGAGGAATGCAACACGGGAGTCGGGACTGGCAAAATGACGCTCTTGGAGACGCGCGTGAAGATGCAGTAGTAACGATAAGGCCGTAATTGCGGTCAGATGCATCCAGGTTCGGCCGTAATTGCGGTCAGATACACTTAGGAGAAGGTAGCTCTGAAAGACACTAGGACTTTTTGTCTACTGAACACTGGACGTACTTACTGTCAGATGCATCCAGGTTCGGCCGTAATTGCGGTCAGATACACTTAGGAAAGTGCTAGTGTGAGTATGCCCTGAGACAAGGAGCAGGAGAGAGGCAAAGAGCGAAAGATCTAAATCTAGCCAAGTGAAAGAAATGATGGATATGGGCGGGCCTCGCTCCACTACTCTCCAAATGTGCAAAATGAGACAATCCTCCGCTAAAAAATGAAAAGATACATTGCTATATTTTTTGCAGTTAGTGCATGTGGAGAGTAGTGGAGCGAGGGCCTAGGGAAAACATCTGTGGGCAGAGGAGAGAGAGGTCGGAGGCACCATGTCTTTTGTTGATGGTATTGGGCCTCGCTCCACTACTCATCACATGCACAAAAGACAAAACATATGGCGATGTATGTCCCCATTTTCTAGCGGCAGACTCGTTCTCATTTTGCACATCATTTTGCACATTTGGTGAGTGTAGTGGAGCGAGGCCCATTGTACGTGTGTTGTGTGGGCAGAGGAGGAACCTGGTCTTTCTTTAGTAGTATTGTACGTGTGTGTGTACGTGGGGTAGGCGTTTGGGGGCGGGTGGGAGAGAAGAGGAGGGGGGAGGGGGGTAGTTTGGAGAGCGGGGGAGAGACAGAGACAGAGACAGAGGGACCGAGAGAGACAGAAAGAGAAACCTGTGGGGCAAGCGGAAGGTCTACAAGGAGAATTCCACGGGAAAGAGAGAGAGAGAGAGAGACAGACACAGTCAGAGACAGACAGGGACAGGCAGAGACAGAGATGGAAACATACAACGACAGAGACAGACAGAGACAGAGAAAGAAATCTGTGAGACATAACGATTGGGGCAAGCGGAGGTCTACAAAGAGGAGAACACGGGAAAGAGAGAGAGAGAGAGAGAGAGAGAGAGAGAGAGAGAGAGAGAGAGAGAGAGAGAGAGAGACGGACAGAGAGACAAAGACAGAGAGACAAAGACAGAGAAATCCGTGAGACATAACGATTGGGGCAAACT